TATGTAAGGCGGCCATTCGAGCTAGCCAAGTCTGCGTGACCCTTCTTTTTAGTTGAAACGCACGCTCTTAGGAATAGTTTTCTAGGACCACTAAACTACTTATTGGATTGAATGCTGAACATTAACTAATTCTAGAATGGCTACTATGTGGAAGGCTATCAAATACTGCATTTTTAAGTAAATATTAGAAGCATATTTCTATCATAGTTATATGAGAACTGAATAATATGAGATTACAGTATAGTTAGTTATATAAGAATATATGAAATAATATTTTCACAAGCATACACATAATGGCTTAAGTTTTCAAAGCAGAAAATGTTTTAAAATAATACACATCCAGGACTAAGTGTCAAAAGTAGCTAGTTATCTGATACATATTGTAGATCTTATGAGCAGGAATGTGATATATTAATACACATATGAAATCGCATCCAAAAGTAAAGCCATGCGTTTGTGTCAGAAATACACAATACTTTTAATGTTAATTTAGCAATATAACGGAACCAAACTAGCAACCAGTTACGAAACAAAATACAAACACGTCTTAATACCGCTGTTGACGCCAAAGGCGCCATCTGTGAAAAATATGTAATATTTGTGTTCTAAAACCATGACGCTGATGTTTTAATAGCGCCACCCTTGCGGCCACTTGTATTGAGTTTTTGGAGTGTGTTCTGAGACGCCGCCGAGAGATGTGAACTAACTATGCGGCTTTTCCAGTAATTAATAAATTTTAGTATACAGTCCATTTTTGAGTTTCTGTGTAAAGTGATTTATTTAATTATGAGTTTTTACTGAGCTATTGACGGGCCCAACCGCTTTTCCCCATATATTTTCCTTTTCTCCCTAGCTCCTATTCCTCACATGATATTTACTTCCGTTGGCATAATGAAATGTCGCCCATATTCTTAAAGGAGCCAAGTTGGCGCTACTAAGGCTGTTCTCCGAAGAATATCCTTTATATATATATATATACGTTGCATTTCCACATAATCTCGTTTACATATAGTTTGAGTTTCCTTTCGTGGCCAATTTTAAGCACATTAGATTGCTAGGATAGGTATCTTTTTCCTGAAAAAACGATACGGCATCTTCCTTACTCCTTGCTAAATTTAAAATTGTTAGAATTTTATCACAATATTCAGACTGACAACAGACTATCGCGATATCACGTGGTTCGTCAAATTCAGCAAATAGAAAGATTTAGCATGGAGGTAGGAAGTAAGATGGAGTGGCCCTAACCGGTTTCCCCCAGACCCTGCTCTGAAGTACTGGCGATCCTTACGTGGTGACCAAAACATTGGTTAATTTACAATTAAGTTCAATGGGTTTTGACACGATCGGATGTAAATATTTTGTAATTACGTCGTAAATATACATATAATTGTATATAATTTCTTTTCTACAGTACTTCAGAGTCCTACGTATATGAAAAGAATGCATTTTTAAATAACATTTCATTCTAAACGGAATTAAATGCTACACTTTTCACAGAACAGTTTGCTCAGAATGGCTTAATTTGAATAAAATATTTTCACAAGTTTTCGTTAATTACATTAGAAAAAAAATTTAAAGCAATTCGATTTTATTCGGTTAAGGATTACAAAAATTAAGATCAAATTTTTTTGTGTTATTAATATTAAATTATGTATTACTTCGTTTCTATTTATGGAGCTTCTTCCTAAAATACTTTCTCAAATATATATAGTTTAGCTTCTGAGGCATCTTTTAAATGGAAAACTTTAAAAGTCAATTTATAATTAATGCTCTATTCGGTTCATTTCAAATTATAACACCTTTTATTTTAATAGCGAAATACATTAAATAGTACTTAACTTTCTCTGAATATTTCTGAAAGGGAATAAAAGAAGGATTCTTTTTTAAATAATATTATTTAAAACTTGTAACTGAGTTAAAAAAATGTAAGGGGAATAATTCTTTTAATTATACTTATCAGATTTTTTTGCCCATAATGTCAACAAGACGTATTCCAAAACTCTTCTTTATTACTCACTTAAGTACGCATCTCATAGAATTTGCTTCACAATACCTTTTAAAAGATTGCTTTCCAGTACGAACAATTCTTGCTTAAATAGTTTTATAACGTATTTGCCAACAGGATTTCAGTTTATGTTTACGATTCAATGCTAAGTTTATTATATATTTAGATAATATTTATAATCATTATAAATTTAGATACATTTAATAATTAGATTTCTTTACAGTAACTTTCACTTGTTTATGAATGAATAAATCCTTCATTTCAAACACATTTATAAATAATTTAATAAATATTTACCTATTTTGTTAAAGGCAGATACAGGATTTTTGCAAGTATATATGCATTGATACCCATACATATTTCATATTTTTCATTTCAGGCATGTGCAAATCTTTAATTTCTGTGCATTCACTATATTTTTCGAGTAAAGTAATTTACACTAATTTAACATTTACCCGAAAGTTTTACATAAGAAATATGTATAAATATAATTTGAATGAACATTATATGCATTATTTTTAATACCCACTCAAAGGTAAGTTTTTCTTCAAAATCCCTCCACGATGGCATCTCTCCATTTTAGGCAGATAGCCCTTGGATGCCTTATTCTATTTAATAAAAACTTAACCTGACCTATGTGCCTAATTGCAAATATTTTAACATGCATAATTTTATATTTACATTTAGCCATCAAGTTTCAAACTTTTGACTTAAAACACGTTTTAGGATACATTCATCATCAAATTCAAATCTTCTAGTAAATATATTTTGGCAGAGCACTCAATACCTCTTTTATCGATTTTACACAGTTTAATAATTCTCTAATAATATAATAAATAATAATAACTAAGTAAATCGTGTAAGCCCAAAGTGATTATTTTTCAGATATATAAAAATAAAATGATGAGTTTAAAATGAGCAACAGTAAAGCCTCTCCTCTAAAAAATTTTAAAAAGTACATGTTAAAATAACATGTGGACGTGAAAAAAAAATAAGTTTATTTAAAACATTTTGGCGTTTGGAACATAAAATAAAAGTAGCGAATACTGTATTAAGGGTATCAAAAAATGTATACAATTTTAAAAGTACGGTGAAGTATTTTTCGTTCTTTAAGCATAACCATTTTGCTAAAATCTATATTTTTGTAGTTCAACAGCCTAGAATTTTATGAAACAAAATTCATAATCAAAATCGCTACTGTTAGTTATCGAAAAATAACCAAGATGTGATTTTTGAGTAAATGTCGCTAAACTATACAAATTGCTATTATCCATCCCACTATGAATGTTTCTTTCATGCGAAAGTGTCCCTTTTTCGATTTGTATGGAACTGTCGTGTGTCAAAATACTATCAGAACCCTTTCAGTGCCATCACTTGTCTTACTAAGCTAATCAACTCTATCATCAAATTCTCTTACTTTCCTAATATATGGAAACATGCCATCATCGTCGCCTTCCCAAAACCGCTTCAAAATTCAACGTTTCTCCAGAACTACGGCCCAATCAGCCTTCTCAGTCAACTTTCTAAAATAGCTGAAAAAGTTATTCTTTTATCATCTTAATCAAATTATTTCACAGAGTTCCTACATTCCGGAAGAACAGTTTGGCTTCCGTCATCCTCATAGTTTTTCTTCACCAGCTGCTTCGTGTACTAATCACCAGCTGCTTCGTGTCATCAACTATATTACTGACGGTTTCAATTGTAAGTTCCCTACCGGAGCCATTTTCCTTGATATTGCGAAAGCTCTTGATAGAGTATGGCACCGGGGATTTATATACAAACTTATTAAGTTAAGCTCCCCCGATCATTGTATTATACTTATTGCTTCCTATCTCCAAGACAGAATCTTTGCAGAGAAAATTGGCAGTTCTGTTTCTTCCACGAGAAAAACTTTTGCTGGAGTGCCTCAAGGATCTGTACTTTCTCCATATTTATAAAACATTTACATTTACGATATTCCTAAGGACCCACAAATTACCATTGCTCTTTTCGCTGATGATACTGCAATTATGACCGAAGCTTCTACTGCTACTGATGTCCAGCTCCTTCTTCAACATTACCTCAATCATCTAAAAAATTGGATCACTCTTTGAAGGATTGCAATTAATACCGAAAAATCAAAAGCAATAATTTTTCGCAAAGGCCAAAAAATTTCACTCCACATAGACCTCTTCTGTTTGATAAAGAATTTGACTGGGTTGATGAAATTAAATATCTAGGAGTCGTTCTTGATAAAAAATTGACTTTTTAGAAACATCCCAAGGAAACTGAGAAAAAAATCAATATCATGCTTGCAACTATGCGCCCAATTCTTGACAGAAGAAGTCATATGTCCGTTTCTAATAAACTCCTCTTATATAAATCAATACTTCGACCAGCATTATTCTATGCTAGTCCTATCTGGGGCCCCGCTGCCAAAACTCACCTTCAACACATCCAAGTTCTTCAAAACAAAGCACTCAGAGAGATCATCAACGCGCCATGGTTCATTCCAAATTCGTATATCCACCGTGATCTCAAAGTAGATACAATTCAAGATTATATGCAAAAACTTGCCAGAAATTTCTTCTATTCAGTTCTCATTCACTCCTAACAACTGCATCAACTCTCATAGATGTTCTCCATTTCCCAGAGAAAAGCACAAATATCCATCTTTAAAATTTTTTACTTATACTAGATTCTTCAGTTCACTTCGACCAGACTCTCACCTTTTTCGTCGACTGATGGCAGCCACCTGACTTTTACTTTCGTCTTTTTGTTTTTCTGATGTTCTTCACGTGATACAGAGTAAAAGGGGCGCTGCTTTCTGAAACTCAAATTCATTTTATGTTGTTAGTAGTAAATACTATCAGAGCAGTCAAGCCAGCTTCTGAATGTAAATAGAAAACACCCCATCTGGTGACCGAAGCTTCGAAGCAGCGCTTCACACCTCCAGTTTTTCGCGGGAACTTTGAAAATCAAGTAGTACCGATAATACTAAGTATTGCAAGTATAATAATGCTAAATATTATTACCATATCTTTGAACAGTACAAAATAATTATGCAAAACGCTGTTGCTTTATCCTTTGAAAATGGCAATGCCGAAATCTAAACTTTGAATTTTGCAACGACTTCATATAACAGTATACTATCTCGTTGGAATTTTGAATATGTCGGCTGATATTCATATCATATCTGTATTTATACCTATCGAAATCATACATTCATCATCTGTTGCATATTTATTTGGTCACTGCAATGTTACAAACAAAAGTACAATGGTTAATTGTACTATTGCATTGGAGGACGAAGATATTTATAAAAATGCTACAGAAAAATTAAATATGATGAATGCAATCGCTGATAGTTACTCCGACAATGTTTCCTTTCTTGGAGTGTTTTACAGTTCACTTAAAATCAAGAAAATTAAGACAGACTTTCTAGAAAACCGCGAAGGCAGTTTACAGTTTATTTTGCGTGCTAACGAAAGTTACAATACATTTTATTTTGAGCACGTTTGTATAAAATCGTTATATACTAATATTTCTTGCAAAGTAATTTTGTATTCCAGTCATGAACTTATGGAATCCAAGCTAATATCGTATAGTAACGTAAGATCCCCTAATGTAATTACCGAAGGTGAAGACTTTATTTCTTTTCTCATTAAAAGTTGCAAAAGTACAATGAATAATGTGGAAAATCGATTATTAGAAAAGAAATTCAGTAATGTAACATGTATTAGTGTGAAAAATAAGCAGTCTGTATCAGTTATTTCTAGCTTAGTGATGTTAACAATTTTAGGTGCTGCAAATATATGTAAATTTTTCTCCTTTCTATGTAGATGGTTAGTATATTTGTTTATCTGCTTAAAATTTATTTTGAAATATATATCTCATAATAATTTAAAACCATGTATTCATTTATTATAAAATGTTATAAACTATACTGTTATATTAAGAACTTGGATATTTCACATTATTTTGTAACATTTACTTGTATTGTGATCAATAAATTCAACAGTTCTGATAAAGTTAAAAAATTTTTACCCAAAAAAAAACTGAGAAATATAATTTTAATAGTACTTATTTTAATAGTAAGTATAATTTTATCAAGGTACTTCAATAATAAAGTATCCACTGCATAAGCTTGATGACATTTGAAACTTGCACTTTATATATTTTCCAGATCAGGCAATTAAGTGGCCACTCTAATGCTGTAGTAATTAAAAAAAAAAAAAAAAGGTTAATCTTTGGATTATAGTAACTTGGGGATTTTTTGGCGACCAACCCTGCTACAGCAATCTGCTAGTTTTTGTTTGGACGCCATTTTGTTTTCACGAAGTAAAGGCATTTTTTTTTTTTAACTCAACATTTTTTTCCAACAATCTGCTAGACGAATTACGCTTATGCTAGAACTTTTATGGAACAAAAGTGCTTAATCATGACGAAGATTAGGTGCGAAATGGGGAGAAACGGCAGAATCGCAAACTTCTTGCCGCGTTTTTAAGAATTGCACATACACGGTATCCATGAACACATCGACCTATTTTCACTTAAAAAAACATCCCAGAATTGCACAAAAATGACATTGCGCGCACTCTTTACTTAATCCATGTACACTGCTTAAGTCCTAGCTAGTAACCTTTATCGCCTTACCAAAATGTCGCCAAACTACCTGTTAACATATTTCAAAGATTAGCCAAAAAGATAGTTTTATCACTAAAATACAGCTGTCTTGATTTAATCCTAGTATACGGTACACACAAGATTTGATTACTTTTGACAACATTATGATGCTCGGTAAACGTGGTGCTTATTATGAGCAGTGATTTTGGTGTTAGCTGTAATTTTCAAAATCGTACCGAGGCTGAACTGTATACAAGGATTTTACCATTGTCATTTATGCATTTGTAGCAAGAGTAAAAGATCTTTGATGTATGTTTTTGTTTGATTTTGTAGCCTGTTATATGTTTAATAAATTGAAGTTGATTTTTGTTGTTTATTTGTTTACTTTAAAGGTGGCCTGAAAAATTTGCAAAAATTGTTTTAATGACTGATGTAGGACGTCAACTTCACCAACGATTTCTCCATGGAGTTGCTATTGTCACAGATTTGAGATCAAAGAATCCGTTTAGTTTAAAGTATAAAAGAATTTTTTCATTTTATTTTTCCTGTATTTAACCTTCATTATATTCTGTATTGTCTGGCATTATATGAAATTGTACCCCTGTATCCATGTTTTAACTTATGTGGGTTCAAAGCAAAAGGGAGTGAATTGTCATAAATTTCATTAAATTTTGGAATGCAAGCAAAATAGCAGCAGTCTATAACTTAATCAAAATATAGCAACTCATGTCCACCTAATATTGCCTTCTGACATGTTCTAAGCCGAATGAACAAATACGAAAAATGGAAATGGACTTTGCTGAACCTTATATGTGTTCTTAGTTTACAAGAAGCTCATTGTTATTTTTCCATTATGCACATGCAATGTTTTTTGTCCTCTGTGAAAGAGAAACCAAACACATGCCAAGACCCAACTATAGTACCATCAGGGAACTATGCACAGATATATATATATATATGTGTGTGTGTGTGTGTAAACAAGAATAATTAAATACGCACACACGTGTAATTACAATATTACTGCCAAAATGCATGGCAGATGCATAACGGGAAAGTACCAGCTCATTGAACTCTTAAGCTAACATTCCAGTTTGATAGTCGTGAATAAGTTGGTTTGGAATATAATATGTCAGTAGCCTGAGATTATTTGATTTATCACTATTTCCATGCCCATACTGTTTCATTTTAAACTTGCTTCCATTTTTACTTCTAGCAGTCAACCTGTTCTTGTTAATAAGATGAAAACTGTAAGTTCTTTTAAACTGTTACTGTTCTTAACTATTAAGTTCTTATTTTATATATTAAGGGACCCAAAATTTAAGAGTAGTAATGCCACACAGAAACTACCAGTGTGTTATTAATGTTAGGAAAATGAAAGATTTTTATTTATACCAATTAGAAATAATGAGTTATCTGATATTTTATCTGCTGAAGTAGAGCAAGAATTTTAATTCTTAAATATCAACATCATTTACTTTCACAGAGCAAGAAAAAACATGAACTAAACTCAGTGGCACAACAGCCCTGACCTGCAGTGTTCTTTTTCTGCTTTCTTGACCTTTGGGCCCCAGAGTGCACTAGCATGCTCTGGGCAAGTGGTCCGCTTGTCGCAGGAACCCCGGTGTTTAGTCCCCAAGTGAATTTGGTACTCATTTTATCGACCCATTCAAGGGATGAAAGGCTGAGCCAACTTTGCCCAGCCCGGGAAAAGAGCCTCGGACCTGTGGTGCAACTGTGCTATGCGGTAGCCACTTTGCCACCAGGCGGTCAAGAATGAGCATATTGTAACATAAAATATGTTTTATGTTATATATCTAGTAGTATAGCATATGATGCATTGTAGTACACAGACTATTTTATCTTTACATTCTTTAATGTCTGTAATATTATCAACACACAATTTTCAATTAAACTTAACTTTAATAACATAAGTTATATGAATATCCTGTGTTATATAATAGTCACCATTATTCCCAATTTTGTATATTCACATTAAGTCTTGGAATGAATCTGAGTGCACTGTTGTAGTGTTAAAAGTATGAACATATTTTAAATGACTTTTTTAAAAAAATTATTAGATGCCAACCTTAACTTTTTAATATAGTTTAAATGTTTTCTCTGTGACTGAACAATTTTGAGGACACGAATACTCTGTATAATAATGTGAGGTACTTTTTGATTATCTGCACCCCCATGGAAATGTCACAAGCTCGTCTGTGACTTTGAAGAGCCCTCAAGAATTCTTTGTCGACTTTAAAAAGAAACATTTGTTTGGGTATCTTTTCATGTATTTTAATGATGCATCCATTATCACCTATTTTTGTACATTCTTCTATATTCATACAAGATATGCACTCTTAATGTATAGCACCATCGTTCTTCCCATGTATACAGTGATCTGTTTTCGCTAAAAGGAACTCTGTATAAAATTAGGAGTATTGCACAAAGTCAACACCAAAATCTTAAATTGAGAAGGATAAAAGAGATACATAATACCGTAAACAAGCCACATTATGCTTTATGTATGCAGAAAATTAAGACCAAGATTTCACTGAAGATGATGAAAACTGCAGTATGTGGCCCAAAAATGTGCTAAAACATTGAAATTCCCATAGGAGTAATCATAATCTGCATTCACACTGGCAAAGAGAATCAGAAAGCCACGGAGATGTTACGTACATATCTGAGTTGCCATATGTATACTCTGCTGACATCATTAGGTTGCCACGTAAATACTTTTTGGTGACATGGTGCTTTGTCTCGTTAATACTTTTTTGTGGCTTTTTGGTATTGATTCAGATAATTACTTGAGGTCTGTTCTTCATATAGCTAGTTGAAGGGAAAGATCACAATTCAAATAGTGTTCTTTCCCTTCAACTAGCCTTCTTTGAAATACGTATGCAAATACTCAATTACAAAAATATGTGTTAATGTAGCTTGCTCTATTGCTTGTACCCTTTTTTTGAAATTTTCTTATACTTGTGTAGGTGCAGTAATTTATTATATGCCATTTTGTTTGACATTATATGTGGATGGATAATAACGTATATGTTCCTGAGTTCAGATATGCCTATGATGCTGCTAGATATAGTTATTAAAAGGACAGATGTAAGTAAATATGAAAATTTCATATTTTCGATTTTATATAAAATTTTTATATAGCTCTATTATCATTTGGCAAATAGATACTTTGATGATTGTTATTCCCAAGTATGATATTAATAATAAGCCATTTTCTCCTAGAAAGATTCCCAAAAAACATCTTTCTTAAAAACTTGACATGTTTTGCTATAATTAGTTAATCAGTCAACAAGATATTTTATACTTAAATTTACTTTAGTTATTATTTTCTATTAAATGTGTTTTCTTATATGAATGTGTAATTAATTAAATTTAAATGCAATATAGTTAATATCTTGTGTTGTGTTTTCAGAATGTCGTTACAGGTTTGCACCAGCTCATAAACTGGTTGATGGGTTTTCCTGGAGGTCTAAAATTAAATATTCCTTTGAACAGTGCTTTAGGACATTTTTTCCTGTATCATATATACTTATGGGAAAGTAAGCATAATGCCTTTTTGTAAGAAATAAAGCAATATATTATGCAAAATCTGCAAACTGTTTCAAAAGTAGTTTACATTTATAAAACATCTTATTAAAAATTTTCTTCTGTTTGCTGCTGATGTTAAGACAAAAATGTTTATATTGGAGAAAATAAGTAAACAAATGTATCTTTCTGCATTTCAACACTATACATTACATTTACTAACTTCTTTATATCCACTCCCTGAAATTTATATTTGATAATGCAAAATGCAAATGTTTATTTTCTAAATAATTAATAATTGTGGTTTCTTTTATTAATTATCTTTACTAATCAAGTCATATAAACCTTCAAAAGTTATGGGGCTCTTCAAAATTAGAGGGATGGCTTTCCAATGCATAATGTGTGAAAAATTTTGCCAGCTCCTGATAGATCTAATTTTCAGTTGAATGTATACTGGAAGACAAGTGAAAGGATCATTTTGAAATTATAACCAAGAAAATGCCACTTATGCACATCATTTTGGAGAACTGTAGGGTTTCAGGGAGAAACCCTTAAAAATTATCTAAATTTATAAAGTTTCATCATTAATATATTGTGTGCTAGTGGCCTGTATAGACAAAAAGATATATAAAGGCTATTTGTAAAAGATAGCTACAAGCTTTGTTTTCTTAAATTTAGATGAACGAAGCTCAGTTCCAAAATTATAGTGTTTCTTAAAACAAAATGTAGAATTTTACGAGAATGATCTCATTGCTATTCTTGGGGAGGGTGCTATAAAAATAAGAATCTAGTTTTAGTTGTAAAAAATTAAGTGTTACTAGTTACGATTTAGTATTTTTTTATACAAAACTTTCATAAAATTAAATATTTATGCAAATTAAAGTGTACTGGTAATGTGTTACTAGTTATGCTGTAGTATTTTTTTATTCAGAACTTTCATAAAATTGAATATTTATGCAAATTAAAGTATATTAGTAATAAGGCATATTTGTTTTCCAGCTTATATGGTGGTAGTACAGCCTGTGTTTATGTTTGTTTTGAAGATATCAACTGTGATTGGTGTCCTTGGGTTGACTTTCGTTCTCAGCGTATTCAGTGATATTATTTCGTTAGCAACAATACATATTTATTGTTTTTATGGTTATGCTGCAAGGTATGTTGTGTATGTCTCTTTCTTTCGTTTTCTTCCCCATGTACACATACAGTCAAAAGTCTTCAATCCAGACTTGTCGGGACTTCGGTGAATCCGGATTATCAATTTTTCCAGATTATAGATCATCAGTTTAAATCTGGTAACATGGCATGCAGAAATTATAAAATTAAAAATATGAAACCGTAATTTATAAAATAATGAGCAATTATGATCTAAAGGGTATCAAAATTTACAAAAAAAAGCTTAATATTTATTTCTTTACTTTATTAAACATTTCTTCTAACGCGCACATGCGTAAAGCATACATTATGCATAGCCGAAATTAGAAAAATTGCAACCAGAAAACTATTTGATTTGTATTTGTGATATTTATAATGACGAGGAATTTGATTTAAATCACATCAAAGACGGAGTACATCGAGATGAAATACTACATTTGATGAGGAATTATAGGCCGAATAAAATAAAAACATCTGCCCTGAAGATAACGATAGTGCTGACAGATCAACTTCCAATTCATTGCGCGTCGCGACGTCCCCCACCCCGCGCAGAGCAGCGTGAAATTGATAAACAGATTTCGGAACGGTTAGATAAACAAAGGATATGCCTTTATCCATTTTTTGGAGCAATTCCACATTTTGTTTGATGGACATTGAAACATACTTTCGTTTTGTAGATCCTTTGGGAGCTCCAGCATCGGAAATTCTATTTGACATTATCGAAAGTTCAAGCTTACTTTTATAAAATTGCTCTTACAGTCTACAAAAAATAATAAGCCGGATCAAATTTGAAGATTAAGGAACAATGCAATCATCAACATTAACTGAAATAGATAATTAGATAATTTTAGCTTATACTGTCCGTTATACAATAAACGCGCACGCGAAAACGTATTCTGCGCTTGTGCACACACATATGCGCAGTCGTAAAGGTCTTACGCGCACGCGTAAATGCCTATGCGCATGCGTCAACGCGGCGCATGCGCAGAAAGTTTTTAGCTTTGAGGTCCGGATTATGGGTGTCTGAATTAACGACTTTTGACTGTATTTCACACTTTTTTACATATATGAATTACATTCATAGTATAAAATTCGTAGCTTTTGTATGTATAGTACTGTACAAAGTCTTTAATCTGAACTCAGCGGGACTTCGGCAGTTCCAGATTATAGATCATCAATTTAAATCTGGTAAGATGGCACGCAGAAATTATAAAATTAAAAATATGAAACCGTAATTTAGAAATAAAGAGCAATTATGATTTGCAGGGTATCAAAATTTTAAAAAAAAGCTTAATATTTATTTGTTTACTTTAGTAAACATTGCCTTCAATCCAAGTTGTCTAAGTTGCTTCGTTTTATGTGCTATACTTTCTCTTTAATTCTATAAACAGACATAATTTCGTGTTCAGTTACAAAGTTTCACTGTTCAAGTCCTGTAATTGCTGTGCCGAGAATACCGACTAACTTGTCAATTGAAATTTTTTCGTTTTCTGTCACTTTCTTCATGCCTTTATTCATTTTTTGCAGCAATTCAACTTTTTGTTTGATGGACATCGAAACATGCTTTCGCTTTGCAGATCCTTTGGCAGCTCCAGAATGAGAAACTCTGATTATAGATCATTCTGGATTATTGACATCCAGATTAAAGACTTTGTACTGTAGATGCTGCTTAATAAAACCACGTTTGTCCTAGACCATTTTCATAACACCAGCCGAATAATAACATTAAGTGATGGGTCCTTCAGAATCTGAATGGAATTTAAATTAAGTATAACTAAGACATAAACAGTGGCTCCCAAAAGTGTTCGTACACTTATGATTTTCAATGAAATAGAGCTCTATCCATTAATTAAAAGTAAACTTTCTGAATGAAATTTTAATAATAAGAATCTATAATCTATTTGTAACAAAATTACATGAAGTATTTTTAAAATACTTCATGTAACATTATTTTTAAGAAATTAATAATCAAAAAATGAAAAACATTTTATCTCGTAAAAGTCTTCGTACACTTCAAAAGAAATCTTGACATATTAGTAAATATTTTTATTTTTCATTAAATTAATATTAGTAGGATATCCTTTAGCATGCACAACAGCTTTTAAACGCCTGGGAATGGATTTTATAAGTTTTTTTGTAATTTCTGTATCAATGTTCATCCATTCTTCCATCATGGCTGTTTTGAGTTCGCTTTTCATTTTGATGTCGTGTTTTTGTACTCGAGCCTCCAGCTCTTTCCAAATGTGTTCTATGGGGTTTAAATGTGGTGACTGAGGTGGTGTTTTCAAAACCTGTGGACAATTATAAAGACACTACAGGTGAACGTTGAGAGAACTTAGAATCGTTATCATGATTAAAAATAACGTTGTTTCCAATACCCAAATTTTGGGCTGATAATTTTAAATTGTCTCTTGAAATATTAAAATAAAGAGAATGATTCATTATGCCATCAATAAATACCAAATTACCTAGTCCTGATGCTGTCATACCCCCTTCCCCAATGCCATGCTTAACTGTTCCAAATAAGTTCTTAGAATGAAGTGCCTCATTTTTTCTTCTCCATACAGTTATTCGACCATCGGAACCCAAATAGGACATTATTCCAGTATGTTTTGGGTGTATTTATCATTGATTTTGCGAATGAAAGCCTAAGCTTTCTGTTTTTCTCACTAACAAAATTTTTTTTACGAGCAGAATACCCATGTAATCCAGCTTCTCTGAGAACTTGTTGAACAGTTTAAGGTGAAATTGAAGTAAAAAATTTGCATTAAATTCTGCAGAAACTTAATAAAGTGTGGGTTTTTCACAAATTTTCTAATAATAAATCTCTCATCACGTTTAGTTAACTTTCTCGGTCGACCTTTTCTTACCTTGTTTTCAATCATTTCCTTCTTTAAAGCGTTTTATCACATACAGTAGTGTAGAATGGATAAATTAACTAATTTAGCGATATTCAAATTGATTTAACACTACTGTGGTGAAAAATTATCAATTTTCGAATGCTGTTTGTAATTTCTTAAAAAATTCTCTCTTTCGTAAAAAAGTACTGCGATCCATTTTTCAATAATAAATAGAATATTATGAAGTAAACAATAAAAAATTAAAGCAAAAGATTTTTTAAATGCAAACACAATGCAAAAATTAAAAAAAGTGGCAAACGGTAATTCTAATTTTGATTTTATCCAAAAATATTTCAGTGTACGAAGACTTTGAGATAAAATGTTCATCATTTTTTATTATTAATTTCTTAAAAATAAAGTTTCACTATATTTAAAAAATATTTCGTGTAATTTTATTAGATTATAGATCTTATTATTAAAATCTCATTCAGAAAGTTTACTTTTAATTAATGGATAGAGCCCTATTTCAAGGAAAATCATAAGTGTACAAACACATTTGGGAGCCACTGTATATACTCACTTTCAAAGCATTTTAATTATGAAAAAGGTTATAGTTCATTGTCTGCAACTATTACACAAAAAATACTTTAAGAATTGTTCATATTCGTAACGTTTTGGAATAACTTGACACATGTGACTTTGATAGCAATTTTTTCATCACCATGAATGCATTTGTAAACAATGTTTTCTGTTTTCTTCCATCAACTAAATCAGCCATTTTTTGCTACAAAATAATCCTTTTCTATATTTATGGTTAATTTAGCTGTCTGCTGCAACAATGGGCCATTGACTGCTACATCTTTTACACAAATATTTGTAAACTAAATCTTTTAGATGAAGAATGCTTTTCCAAAAGTGTGATCTGTTCTGCTACATATCCGTTTCATGTTTTCATTTGAATTTGCTTAAATTTGAAAGTAATATTTTCACAGTTATACAAAATCTTGTTTAAAACAGTTTGAGAATATTTACCTTAAGAGCTGCATTCTGTTGATTCCAATTTTTGAAAGTTGGTCATAGTGGTTTAACAGGCTGAATTTATCCCTCAGATTATCATTCCTTTTTGTTAGACTTTGTTATTTTACTACACAATATAAAATAACGAGCGTTTCCTAAAACAGAATATTCGTAAAAATGTAAAGCTCAAAGCAAACAAAGTGTTATTTTGGAGCAAAAAAGCAATGTCTTCTAGAACTTTGTTAACTTGGTTACTGTTACTCCAGTCAATCATTGTAATGCTTGGGAAATGGGTACTTAATACATGCATGCTGTAAATCAAAATCAAGCTGCTTGGTGAACTGTCTTTGTCATTTTGAAATTTCTGTACTCTATTTTGATCTTATTTGGCAATTTAAACTTTTATTGAGCAACTTTATTTCAGTTAAAAAAAAACTTTCTATATTTTGATAACATTAACCAGCTTGTTTATGTATTTTCCATGTTTTCATATAAAAATCGGTGAGATTTTGAAAATTTGATATTTAAATGATAACATTAACTGTGATCACATTAAGTGGCGCCTGCTGTACCTCAATGTAAATTGATAGCTTTTTATGCCAGTGTTTTTCAGATTCATCTTCTTTTAATAAAAGATAATTTTCTTCAGACATGTTGAAATAAGAATTATTATAATAAATTTAAATATTATACTCGTATTTTTAGTTTAATTGTTTATGCTTACTGTAATTGTGTATTTACTAAACAAATATGAAAATAAATTAATGATGGCATATTATGCATTATAGAAGTATAAATACATTCAAAAATCATTCTTACTGGCCTTTTGTGTATAATTATTTTATTTTAAATGAATAATACATTTTTTGCCCCGTCACTTTTACTGACAACCGACAATTGATTGTTAAATGATATAGCAAACTCAAAACCTTAACTAAAACTAAGTTACAAGAGTTGCGAAATCATTTTTTTTTTCATTCATTAAAAATCTTTTCTTTTTAATCTGCAATGATGGCAATTTTCAATTTGCTGTCTGGCAAAAATGAAAATATTGTATACTTTTATGAAAGGGATATTTTATCATCCACCCAGATTTGCAAAATTGCGCATGAAATGAAGTAATCAAAAGTGCAAAAGTCAAATGAAGTTCAGTGTGAGATATTAGTCGAAAAAGTAGTAAACCTTTGCACTAGCAGCTGGTTTGCTGCTTCAAAAGTCAAATTCTTGACAGCAGTAAGCTGTCAAGAATTTGAAAGCTTACTGCTGTTGTTGATTTATAGCCACTTGAAAAATAAATTACGACTTTTTTTAAGTTGGAATTTGTATTTTAAAAAATTATTATTCTTTTCCTTCCCCATTTTTGTTAAAATTTCATTATTTAAAAAAAAAATTCTGGAGAAGGGGGGGAAAAAAAGTGTCTAAACTTGGCAACATTTTTTTCTTGGCTTTTTTATCACCAGTAAAGCTGCCGAAGATTTTTTTGACTAGTTTTTAACAAAAATAGATTGGAAGGTGCTGAGTGTGTTATGAGTGTTAAAGTAATATTAAAATAAATAAATAAAAGTGTTTAGATAAACTTAATTTTATGAAGCAAATGATATTTCTAAAAGTTTTAAATTGTAACTCTAAAAATTAGTAGTCTCATGCTGATTTCAACACTTATCAGTTTCATGCATCTAGACTGGAAAACCACACTTGAAAAATATGTTTACTGATGTATGCTTTACAGACCACCATAAAATGCAATATAATTTCATATTTATAATTATCTTTCTTATTGCATACTTTTTTTTTCTTGTTCCTGTAATTAATTATTATCCTTGTTTTTCTTCTTCAAAAAAAAGTGAAGGGATTACCTGATCATTCTTTACTATTTGCACCTAAATTATTTAAAGGATTATGATTTTTATTTTCTGTATAGAATATTTTTTTGTGTGTGAATTACCTTTTCTTGATATTTGCCATATCTATAAAAATTTCTTTAAAATAAATAATGAAATTTTAATAAAACTTGTATTTTTTTCTTAGCCTGTTTAATAATTTGGTTTTATTACCAGGTTGTATGCTTACCAAATGGTAACTCTCTCTGCCTTATGGAGATTATTTCGTGGCAAAAAATGGAACCCTTTGCGCCAAAGAGTGGATTCTTATACATATGATGTTCATCAGTTATACCTCGGAACCCTGATTTTTACAGTTTTGTTGTTCTTACTGCCCACAGTGATGGTTTATTACTTCGTTTTTACAAGTGTGAGTACAATTTTGTTCTTTTTCTTTTAGATTTGAATATTATTTCTATATATCTCTTTAATATACTCATGAAACACAAGTTAAAAAGAATAAAATCACAATGCTTAAAGTTTTATTTACTGATTATGTAGCTTGGATACTAAACATATTTTTTTAGTAAATTTTGTACAGCAATAATTTGATAAAAAATTACAATAATATTGGAAGCTTAGTTAAAATTTTCTAGCCAGGTAAAAATTAAATGGAGAGATTTTATTAAGTGTCCCAAGCCAGATGGAAAGGGTCTAACAAGATCATTCTCAAATAATTAGCATTTTGACATGTTGCTAAAGCCATTTCCTATAAATTAAACAATAAATGCAGAAGTATTTTTATATTTTGTAACCATAGTATTAATTAATGAAGTACAGAGAGAGTTTACCTATTTTTAGAATGATTTCAGGGCTGTTTAATTAAAATTTAAAATGTAAAGAGTATTTTTGTGAATGTTCAGTATGATAGCCTTTTCCCAGGACAATAAGTTTGCATTGGGATTTCCATGACAGAAGGGCTTATTGTAAAATTTCCAGGGCTATTGATTTACCTCTTCACTACTTTCCAGAGTCTATCAATCATGGTTGGTTTGCACTTAGAAAGAGCTTTTTCAAGAGACCAAAAGGCACAATAGTCCACGGATGAAATTTCAAGGGACTTTGCAGAAACACATTGAAGCTATATAAATAATGCAATACCAGTATCCGTCTTCAATTTTCAAGGAATGCAGTGGTCCTTTTTGAAGTATGACTTGTTGCAAATTTTCATTCTTTAGAAGTCATTGGATAAAGAAATGGAATTTCTTCTGTAAATACTTGACATACAACTTTCTCTTAATAGTACAAATTTGATTTTAACATTTTTTTAAAAAAAATTTTCTTATTTTGAATTTCCCATTGTAAAAGAATCCTGACAATCATAAACCCCTTGCTGAAAATTTCTTTGCATTGACGGAACCAGGTCTGCACAGTTTTTTCTCATCGTTTTCGATCATAAATAGACCTTTTCTTGTAGCAGTCATTTAGGTGGTTCATCAAGGTTCAGTCTGTTTCTCTTTATCTCCAGTTAAATAGTTTCATATAGGATTCTACAAATTGTTCTGCACTGAGCCACATGCTTCGGCAAAAGCTGGTAAACATTACATGTTTTAGCTTTTTTAAGTTGTAAATCTTGGTTTACTATTTTTTTTTAGTATTGCTACCGGCCCAGTGTGCAGAACCACTATCCCACGAAGGCACAAAAAGAAGGCGGGAGAAATTTCTTATAGTTGTTAGTGTCTTTTCACAGGTTTAGTCTACTGACTTAATAGAGATTTGCAAGTTATGATACATTTATTACTGATCTGGCAAAATACTATTAACCATTTTATTTTAGTGTACCATTTTATTTTATTATAAAACACCTACATGTAATGCTTCAAACAGTAAAAACTATGAAACATTTTTTTCAGAACTTTTTTCTAATAATTGAATTTCTTTTTCAGTTGTTCAGTACATTTGAAAATCTTGCCACCACTTTTTTTTAAAGAAATCCTTCATAAGACTAATGATTGATATATATTTTATCATTATTAATTACAGATCGACTGATTTATTAAATTCAATTTTTTATTAATATTCCATTCTATGGTGAATTTTCGTAATATTCCATTCTATTAAAATGGTGAAACTTAAAGCTTTAAGTCATTAATGCAGGCACAAAATATTTTCATTGGCTATTAAAAATTTTAAACTGTAGATCATATACCGTATGTTCCACCATAAAACATGCACTTTTAATACAAAAAATGAGATTGAAATTTATAGGTGCGCATTATACAGCAGATATAAAAATGATAAATTTAAAAATAAAGGAAAAGATGAACATGCAAAAATTAGATTTCTACATGTACTTAAATGCCTTTTATTTAAAAGAAATGCCAAAGACCTTGAAAATTGTCTTTATCGGATAACATGAAAAGTTTGTCCTAATCATCTTCCGTTAAATCTTGATTTCTGTTTCCTATTCTCCATCATTATTACTCTTATCCATAAATAAATAAGCATCTTCTGTTTGATCTTGATTTTTATATATGATATTATATTATATATAGATATATTACATTTTTAAATGACTTTTGAATTATGTTGGGTTTAATTTCATTCCATCTTTTTATTATCCACTCGCACACTATTTCTAAACTGGCATGATGCATCTGGCCTCCTTTTGTAAATTTTTTCACCTTCTAACATCCATGTATTCCACTGTCGCTTTTAATTTTCTTTGAATAGTTTATTGACATACACATCTATAGGCTGAATTAATGCTATTAATCCACCTGGAATAGTTGCCATGTCTGTATTTTCAACAATTCCTTCATATTATCCATTAGATGGGACCTGAACGTACGAATTTTTACCCCAAATTATGGCCAACTTGTCTCAAAAGTTTAGAATAACATTTTCGTGCACATCTGAATTGAATGTAACTACCCTCTTTGCAGAATTATTTACTCCCTCAAGCATATTGTTTCCCTTATTGCTTATTCACTATATCATTGTTTGAAAGTCTGAGAAAAATCTTTGAATGAATGATTTCAAAAGATAAGAGTATGTATCCTTTAGACATTCATCACGAAGAGAAGGATGCACGTTGTACAGGAAATGTACCTAAAAACTAAAAAATGTAGTTTGAAATTACAGGTGCATGCTATACGCTGGATTATATGGTATATAAAATTAAAATTTTTATTTTTACAGGCAATCTTAAAATGCTTGTGCATAAAAATTAACAGAAATTTCATTGTGTAACATATAATTTTCCATTTCTAATTAATTTTATCCAATATATAGGGATAAAATTTTATGATGGCACTGAACTAATGTGATTTATGGGCTTTCATTAAAACAATACAGCAAGTGCAAAATGTGATGAGTTACCTGATGCCAGTCGGAGACTTAATAATCTGGTGGAAATAAGTGAAAAGTACAATATACTAATCAAATGCTGAAAAAATTCAAGCAAATAATTCATGTAAAGGCAGCATAATAATATTTTTCATATTTAATAATTTTGAAATTTTTGAGCAGTTTGATAATTAACTGCTCAAATTAAGCAATTTGATAGATCAATTATTAGCATATCCTTTATTTGGAATGTAATTACTGTAATCAGAAATTCATTAAATTAATTCATGTGATAAATTTAAATAATAAAATGTTCATGGTGTATACACTATTTTAAACTATAATAACTGCAAAATAAAGTTTTTTTGAAAGGAAACAACTTGGAAGTTTTTTCTGTATTGCTGCACCTAAATGGAAATTAAAATGAGCATTTTTTCTTCAAATGCAAACAATTTTCAACTAATGTACTATTTTTTAGAGTAAGATTTTGGGACTGATGAAAAGTAAGTAACAGGAAAACATGCTACATCATAGCTATTCTCAGTATAAATGATGATATGTTATATTTATTTGTCTGTGTAGTGTGTATAAAAAGTTCAGTGAGTGTTCTACTATCCCAGTGGAAATGTGGGACAATGCGGTGAACATCTACATGGCTATCTAGAGAAATGTTGAGAAGTGCCATATAACATGGAGTACATGTGGCCATCTGGATAAACAGACTGCGAGCAATCAAATGCAACCAACGCGAGAGAGCGTCACAGTGCAACTAAGCAACAAGTTAACATAAATTTCTGCTACAGACTTGTGAATTTTGTGTGGATTGTCGGAAAGATAGTGATTTTGATTTCATTGATTACCTACTAGATTTCAGATTGAGCTGGTAGTAACAACTTCCCTTCCCTCTGATGATTTCATAATAGTGAATCTCAGTAATGAAATCTTCAGAGGTTTTCTTTAGCTTTGCTTTCTGTTTTTCTGCTTAATCTGGTCAAACTAGGAAGATATCTGACTAAAATCTTTGTGGATGATAATGTACCATGTCCTTGTTGATGCCCACTTTCTCCTGAATCAGTTGTGCAGTCAATTGCTGATCTCATGCCAGCATGCCTCTCATTCACTTGATCAAGACTGAGGTTTCACTTATTGACAACCAACCTGATTCCATTTTTGGTTGTTTCCTTTCTATTAAGAAAGCATACACTCATAAAAACATTTTCTACATATGGCTTCAGTCACTTGCACAAATATTCCATGTATATTTATTGCTGTTCTTCCCCATATTAAAAAAAAAATTGATCTTCACTCATTGTTCTATTGCATTGTGAGAAAACATTTCACATTTTCAGTTAGTTCACCCTGACAGCCACATGTAGCAATTCTTGACATTTCTCTGGATAGCCATGTTTATATGGATGCACCTAGCCTATGTTTCTGTTGAGATATCAGATTATTCACCTTCTTAGACACTCTACACAGAATATTGTATACAAAAAACAGAATTCTGAATCTATGTATATTCATGCAGAAATATTTATTTTGCAGTTGAGGATTTTAGTTTTAGTTATTCAAGGAATTATGTCACGAATAATCAATGCAATCACTATTTTCCCTTTTTACTCCATTATTTTGAGAATGCTTCATTCTTCCATAGTTACAGGTATGAATATTCTAATCTTAATATATAAACTTTTTATTAATTTTATAAACTGAAACATGTATTACAGTTTTATATGCTATCATCTAAGGTCTCAGTTTAAATCTTGAATAAGGCTTTGAATCAGGAAATATATAGCTTAAGTAATTTTACTTTATTTGAACGATACTTTTTAACATTTTAGTTTGATTCTTAAAAATTCAGATCTATAGTATATTTACTTACTGTTAGTATTTACTAATGTTAATTAAAAAGTTTATGTGAGAAATCATTTTCTATAATGTACTTTTACAACATTGTTTCATTTCTTAGCCTTAAAAACATGTAACAGATTTGCAGCATAATAATCATTTGAGCCATACTAGTACTAAATATATATTATTTCAATTTAAACTTTATTTTTATTTTCTTTCAGGAGATGTCTTCTTCACTGTTAATAATACTAAAGGAGCTTTGGTGTTGAATATGCAGGTAAGTCTGAAATTTAAAATAACTTCTCATAGGTCATTAAATATTTTCATGCTTATAATAAAAACTTAAGTACATTTATTTTAACTTAAATCATAAAATTTTAATGAAGTTGTTGAAATCTTCTTAGATCATCATAGAAAACTCTTCTAGTAAAATTATATCTTCTATTATATGATTTGTATGATGCTTAACTTTTATAAATATATAGATTTGTCATTTCAAAACAATGCTAATCTCGAATTTTCATGCATTTTTTTTCTCAGACTGTGCAGATTCCTCTGATGGCTGTGATAAACCTGACTTTACCTAAGATCAATGAGTATAAAGAGACACTGACCTGGAAAGACATTTGCTCTTCAATTGTTTGGGGCAAATTAATTTACCCACTTTAAAATACCATAAGAATGATGTATCTAATTTATGAATGCTTCTAAGATCAGTATATTTCATATGTGTGCAAAAAATTCACAAGAAATTAATTTTCTTATGAGCATATATTATTAAAGATTAAAAAGCATAAATTAGCGTATGTCAGGATTAAGTTTGCTGAATAAAAAGAAGCAATATAATTGTATGCAAAAATATAGTAAGAGAATGAACATAAAATGCATGAAGATGTTTTATTTTGAGTACCAATATATATTAAAAACTGTTAAAGGCAGTGATGCTTATGGAACAGAGAAAAAATACTTATTTAAAAACAATAGAATAAATGCCTAGTTTATATATTTTATAATAAGTTTTAGTATGGCTATAGAATCACATTTTCTTTCTTAACAGTAAGCTTTTCTCCAATAGAGGTTTGTTACTACAAATCTCATTTCCTTTGCTAACAGCCTCTCATGCTGATATTATTTTAATATTCTAGCCAGCAATGTAGAATTTGTGGTTTCTTCTATGTGCAATTAGTTCTAAAGCTTAAGCTAGAAGTTCTTCAGATCTCCTAGCATGTTCATCTATGTTACCAACTTCTACCCGACGCAAATTGATTTCCTTGCAACTTTTTATATTATGTAACATAAGAGTCCAGTTTGCCTGAGGCAAAACCTATGCAGAGTTCTCCTAATTTTTTGCAACACTGTAGATATTAAGATAAAAAAAACATGCCAAACAAGTATTAATTTAGAAGTCAAACAACAAAAATCAGCGATTGAATCAATCAGCGATCACTGATTTTTGTTGTTTGACTTCTAAATTAACTGCAGATATATTTATGTTTCATGTATATTTCAGATGGAGTACTTTGAAATAATTTTATAATTCACATTTTTAACTGAAATATAAAAATCTGATATAGACAGCACAGTGTGGAATGCTAATATATAAATAAATTAATAATATTTTTTGCTGCATTTCATTTTAAGGAACGTGCAGAATGGGCAATATTTGTGTCGTTATTTCTGCCAGACGAATTATCGAAGAAACTTGTTTTTGTCCCGGAGGCTACGTGTAATAGGAGAGAATGGCTGGGCCACTGTCAACGAAGGTACTTCCAGCAGAGACGTTTTTATGAGGGATATGGTGGTCGGACTGAGAAGGGCGGGTTGGTCCTTAAGTCAAATTGCAGCTGATACCCACATGGATGCGAGCATGGTGCATCTGCTATGGCGACCATGGTTGGAACAAGTAAATGTGGGGGAAAAGGAGGGGTGCAGGTGCAGCCAGAGTGATGTCAGCATGTGTGTATCGACGCATCCGCTGACAAGCTGTGGTGATCCCGCAAATCACTTGTACCGCGATTCTGCAGCACGTGCAAGATACCCTGGATGTTTCCGTGTCGACCAGTTGAACGTGGCCTGCACTCACGATGGCCATTAAGAAGACTGCCATTGACCTCACAGCATAGACACCAACGTTTAGAATGGTGCCGGACTGGAGCGATGTAGATGACAGAATGGCGAAACACTGTGTTCTCATGAGTCACGCTTCTGTTTATCCAGTGAAAGTCACCGCATATGTGTGTGGCGTCGACGTGGAGACAGATCTAATCCGACAGTAACTGTGGAACGTCCCACCGCGCAACAATGTGGCATAATGTTTTGGGGTGCTATTGCCTATGATTCCAGATCACCTCTAGTTCGTATTTAACGGCCCAACGATACTTGGATAATGTACTGCGGCCGGTGGCAATCTCCTACCTTCAAGGGCTGCCTAATGCAGTTTTTCAGCAGGAAAACGCCTGACCACACATTGCTCTCATCTGCTAACATGCTCTGCAAGGTATACAGATGTTTCCCTGGCCACCGTACTCTCCTGATCTGTCACCAATCAAACACGTGTGGGATGTGATTGGACGATATTTGCAGACTCTGCCCCTGCCTCGTTCAGAAGACGAACTGTGCAGGGTTCATACAGTGCTTAAAATTTTTGGAATCGATTTTTGGTCCTTAAAAGTCCTTAATTTCGTCCAAAATCGGCAGAAGGTCCTTAATTTTAAACATCAGAAATTTCTGTCTGTTTTTACGACTGCCATTTTGAGTGTGAATTAACATTTTGGAGGTATATTTTTGGCGATTTGCTGACAAATATATTTATCTTTTGAATGGGTTCATGGGTTTTAATTTGTTCCTATTTCTAATATAAATAATGGGATACTCGGAATTTCTGAACTTATGTTTCAATAAACATAAGCATTTTGAAATTATTTCATTTTTTCTAATGAAGAGCTCTTGAACAACTTTTCGCTTTTTGGAATATGAATTCTTTAAACTGTTCTAAATTTGGCAACTTATCAACATTTTGGCAATTTTAAGATCTGTTTCTATAGAAAATTTTTAATTCCGAGATCTAGAAATTTTTCGACAGTTTTTTTAGAACATTGTTAAGCATAAATTATTGAATTATTTTAATAATTAATATTTAATCTTTTAATTATTAGTGATTTTATTAGTCATTTTTAATTTTTTTATTTTTGTACCCTCTTTCCTGATTGTGTTCCATGGGGCTCCAGCACATATAATTTTAGAAAATATCATTTTTGTCTATAAAATTAATTTACACTTTTTTCCTCCGATTTTATTTCAAATATTTCTGGCTTTATGCTGTTACAGAATTGGTAGGTTTTTTTTTTTTTTTTTTTTTTTTTTTTTTTTTTTTTTTTTTTTTTAACGTCTGGAAGAACAATGAAAACATAATAGTTGAATGTTTTACTTCTGATACTAGAATCTTTTTCTTAACATTTTTATCTTCTCTTTATTTTCTCTACTTTTCACTAGACACAAACATGGAAAATATCAAAAATGCTTCTAATATTGAAAACTGACAATTTAAGCAATTCATCTAATATGTCTTAATGCATAATACACAAGGATGGCGCTAGGTATTTTCCCATCTGATGTAATCTCTGTGGATCCCAAATTCTGCTTCCAGTCCCTGTTCTAAATTCTAAAAGTTTTTGACATTTCTAGATTTTATTCTTGGTGTGTCACTAAATTCTAAAAATTCTGCCACACCAGCTCTGTAACTGGACCTTACCATATATATTTCATATTTCTTATGAATGTTCTTATTACTATAGAAATAAAATGAGCAGCTTTTTCTATACATTTTCAATACATTTAGTGTTTTTAGAATAACAAATTTTTAAGTAAATCCAAAAATTCTAAAACGAAAAGGAAACGTGGAAGAAAGAAACTGAATACATTAAGACAATAGAAAATTATTCTTCAAAGATGTGTACAGATATTATTATGTAAATTACCCAGTTGTTTACAATTTCAGCCTTTACTATAATTTCCGATTTCTATTTTCTCACCAGAATGCAAGTCACTTAGACAATTTTTAAACTGAGGCTTTTGGAGTGTAAGACCAAGAGTGTGTTTCTAACCCCCCCCACTTGCTCCCTGCATTAGTTCCTGCCAGCTCTGATAATTTGTAATTATTCGTCTTTACATTATTGCTGCTGACATTTGAATTCATTATGACGATAGAGTTACTGAGCCTAATTAAAATGAAATGAAATTGTATAGTTTTTGATCACTAGTTCATATTTTTAGTTTGAATTTGATTATTCTTGTTTAATTACATCGCCATAAGCTGTAACTGATTTTGTTAACATAAGAACATGCCTTTGATTTCTAAGTTCTTTTTAAATAAGAAGCTTATTTAAACCATTGTCTGACTTTGTAGTTACTTTTAGACATAGCGATAATTTGCTTGACATCTGTCCAGAAGGTTTTGGACTATTTAACTTTTACCAGATCAAGTAAACCCTCATAGGTACATTTTGGAGAGGTTGACAGGTTAGGAGATAAAACACGCAGAAACTAGTATGAACATTGTCTTGCGTATTGAGACAAAGTTCTAACTGTTAGAAAAGTTGCTTAAAGAGAAGGAAATAAAATTGGACAAAAAAAAAAAAAAAAAAAAAAAATATAAATTGGACAAAATGTTTGGGAAGGCTTCAAATTAAAAAAACGTGTAAATATTTTGTTGAGTGTTATTGCTTACAAAACACAAATATTTTGTAGCTTTTAATGTGTAATTATTCTAATATCGTTTAAGAATCTATGTCATAAATTACATGTATTTTAAACTGTGGAATTTTATTAGATTATGATTTTAATAGGGCTTTTTTAACAAATATTGTTAGAAAATAAATAAAATTTAATAGTGCCCATGTAAATCTATAATGACTAAGGTTATCTAATTTAATCACTTATAACTAACTGGTTACCGTTAAAAATTATCTCTGCATTTTAAAGTGAGTTGTTGACTTTTATTAACCCTTATCATGGTCACTAAGATAAAACACAAAATGTAAAAATTCATGTAAAACCTATTCTTCGCATCTAGTGAGACTTATATAATAGAAATAATGCAAAACAACTTATCACCTCTGGTGCTGTAGTGCAGTGCTTCGCAACCGGTGTGCCATGAGTAGGATATAGGTGTGCCGCAATCAAATACATGTATTTGACATTTTGCAATTTTTATCATATATCTAATACACAATGACAATTTTTTTCCTTAATAATGTCTATTTTAAATGTTTTTATATATTTCACTGTTGTGTGGTTGTGTGTTTGATTGTAAATGTGTCAGCATTTGAATTTTTTCGGCACTTCCTTGATAACTCGGAACTCTTTGGTGTGCCACAAAATTCCAGAAAGATTTTGTGCGTCGCAGGTGAGAAAAGGTTGCGGAGCACTGCTGTAGTGGATAATTAGGACCTTAAAGTATGTTAACTGAGTTACAACCCCTGGAACTCTACAAGAAGCTATGACAGGAACTGCATCAAACTGAGCCCAGCTAACTTTCAAAACTTGCAAACCGTGCTTATATCAGGCTTTTCAGGTTTGTTCTGATCAGCAGGTCTCTCTCTAGGGAAGTAGGAGTGGCGACAACAGCCACTCCTACTTCCCTAGAGTCTTTTGTTTTCAATCATGTTGATTGTGATTTTACTTCTCATTTTAACCTATGCCGCTTGACATAAAATCTACTTACTGTTTACTAAACCCGTAGACTGAGCAAGTATGTGACAAACTGAGACATTTAAAAAAAATCAATATAAAGCTAACTGTTAGTAAA